TCGAGACTATCACGATGGCTATTTTTCGCCTGATCCAGTCGCGCCGACTTGCTGTCCCATGTGACGAAGGATTTTTGCGGAGTCCACGCATCTCTCTGGGAATGGAGAAGCGCATAATGCCGTCCTATCCCGTCACCGCTATGGTTCCATGGCTTGGTGGATAGAGCCATCCAGGCGCAGAATCACAGGACGGCCTCGCAGGACACCTGCCAACCGCTGTTTTTCGTCGCCAAAATCTGAAACTCGAAGGAACCTCGTGTCATCTCCAAGCTGGAAATCGCCTCAATTCGCGAGAATACCGATGTAGTGACGGGCGGGCTCAATCATCAGCCATATCGTGCGGTGGTGTCTGCATCCAAGACCATATCTACACCGGGAGATATGAAGAACCCGGTCGCCATCGAAGCCAACAAGGTGTGAGAGAGGCGCTGCGTTGTCCTGCAGCAGGGGTTTTTGTGACTTCCCGTAAGTAGGCCGGTTGTATTGGTTTGCAGGGTATTATCTGGACCGACCAGTAGAGGGAGGTGGTTCTGGCCGCGATCCATTGATGCTGGTTTGCACCCGATTTAGGGGGTTGCCTAGAAGTACATGCTGGCATACCTGCCTACTCGGCTCCCCGTACATTTCGGAGACTTCTGCGGTGAGCCCTGAAAAGAAGACATCAGGAAGGTTCAGCCTGGCAGAACCCTTCTTTTATCAAAGTACCAGCCGGCCAGAGAGGGTGTTCAGACCAGCCCTATAGATACAGCACCGTCATTGGAAATCTAGCATCGCCGCGAAAAGGGTGCCCGACAACAAGATGGGGTTTCGAGGTGTATGACCGTGGTGATTTTACAACCCTGGGCGACTCGGATGCATCAACCGGTGTCAGAGTTGTCAGGCGACGTTGGGAACAACGAACCCCAGAGACGCCTGGAAGGTCACTCCGAAGGACGGGGGACGAGACAAGGCATGGCTACCCGGCTTGGGCGCCTGTAGGCCAATGAATGCAGGCATGCATACGTCCATCGCCATGGCGATATTCTCCTAGTGCCATGTTATAATGACAATGGCATCTTGACATTTGGAACCCATGTGAGCCAAGCCACAGGCTGAGAGGCCACGAGCAAGTTTAGTGTAGGAGAGCTCCAAAAGGCCATGAGCATCTTTCCCCATTTGGCGACGAAATATGGAAGGAACTTTTCCAGATTGGGGTCCCGCAACTTTAAATATTACTAATCTCTGGCTGGTGTCTGGGTTCAGCCTCATTCACGGCCCTTCCCCAGGAACTTTTGGGGGATCAATGGCTGACGGAGATCGTGCACTCAGTAGCGGCAATAGAGCCACCATGCTACGTTCCATAGTTGCTACGCATGGGAATCTCAATTTCGGGGTGGTTTTTTTTGTCGGCCTTTCTATTATTCGCCGTCCTCAGGGGTAAACATCGCTCATCGACGATTGCGCTCGCGTCCCTACGAATCCCTTGTTCACGAAGAATACGCCGAGCAGGTCAAGTATGATGCAGGAGATCAGCCACGAGTCGGCTGCGGCGTGATGTTGAATAACAAGAATCAGCATAGGTATTAGTTAAAAACAAAGTGTAATGACAAAACATGCCACCAGCACAACTACATCATAATTTCCACAAGGTACCCGGCGCTGGACTCTTTCTCTCCGGATGTTACCATCTTGGCTGGCACTTCTGCCGGGCATCCTTTTTTTAGGGGGTCCTCCTTTCTGGTCGACGGATCTTATTAATAATAGTCCTGGTTTCTGACTGGGGGACTGTGGGAAGAGGAAAAAAAAGTTCTCCTACATGATGATTCATCCACCCAATCCAACAACGCAGACTAACGGCACGCACGACAAGGGACTGAGAATTCCAAGTCTCGCTTTGCGGCGGCACATGTACAGTAAGTACCCGGATGATCCTCGCATTCAAGAAAGAGACAGCGAAAAAAAAAAAGTTCCGTGACGGATGTATCAGCAGGGGGGTCCGTCCAGGGTTCACACGTGAAATAAATCCACGAGCAGACCTATCAACGAAAGCAACACCAAGCTGTGCTCCGGAGTCCGTACGTAATCCATGCCAGCTCTACATGGTCAATACTTTGTTTGTACATGCGGACTGCGGAAGGGCGGACAGGCGAGTCCGGGACCCCCTGCCATTTCTATATACTGGGTAACCCACAAGGTGAGGTTTTGACAGAACTACATAGTAGGCAGCTCGTCTATGCTGGAGCCGGCGCCGGTCTTGCTCTTGTAATAGAATTCACGTAAAGGGCGTGCGGTCGGTCTGGGAGCGACGGGCCACTAATCGCGGCCGAGCTCCATGGAGATCTGGCTACCCGTCGGCGGCGCTCATTGCATAGACGAGGCCCGACAGTAGGCCACAAACGAGCAGCTAGTGCTCTGACTAGGGTCCTTTATTCCCTGCGCTGCACTTCAAAGGTGCCAAGTCCCACGTCAAAAGTTCCGAGCGCTTGGGGCTGACACACACCAAACACGGGCCTCCCTACTCGCTTGACCACTCACACGCACATGCCACGCCTGTACCTACATTGTACATCCCGCGAATGCCTGCAGCCTGGGAATCAGTTACAAATAGATTCAGTATAGGGCATCTCAGAGCGTGCACGCTTCGGCGCAATATCCAAGGCCAAGGCCATGGATCGCTAGTATCAACGTCCAGTCTCGCCACGGCTTACCTGCACATGGAGTCATGTCATGTAATAGATCTGTTCGGAGCAGGTCCTTTTGCAACATCATCCCAGCTGTGCTGAGGCCACACATGGAATGGAGCATAAAGATGGAGATGAAGCAGAAAAGAATCTAGCAGCGACCACTTGTCAGACCTGGCTCGAAAGGGGAAATGCTCTGCACAATGGCATTTCCTAGCCGGGACTGCGACTTGGATCTGTCTCGACCGCCACCCCTTTCCGCGCGTACCTGGGCCGAGCACGACGATGACGATCGAAGCAAGGAGACTCGTGCTGGCGCACATGGACCATCAGACAGACGAGAGAGAGAGGCCGATCGTGATGATGAACGGTGCTCAGAACGGGCTAGCAGGGAGGATGAAGCTCTGCCGTAACATTGGGCCGACGCACTGTCTGCCTGCCAATTACGTAGCGTGCATTTTAATGCCTGACTACATACTATGGCGCCTGCCGGCCCTGTGTATCACAATATCACCACATCACCCTCATCTTGCCATGAACCCTTGTGGCCAGCGCCAGAGCCAAGAACATCGCACAAAGGGCCGGCAGCGATAACGGGCGATTACCTCTATCCAGCGCTGCTCTTCAGCTCTGGGCGCCCCGAAGTTCCTGATAGGCCGTGGAGCGACACGGCTGGCTGGCTAACGACTTATGTTGTACATGCATCAGCCGATTCACAGCTGTGGGCAGGTCCCAGCATGGCTCCCCGTACTTCGCCCGAGCTTGGCCCAAGGCGTGATGGCGTGCCACCAACGCACCTACCGCATGGGGCATGGCGCGATATGCGAGTCCATGTCCTGGGGACCTTTTGAGCGGCTCTTGGACATTATTTTAGGGTCCTGCTCAGTTTTACCAGTGTCGAGCAAGTGGCAGCTCCGCATTTCGTGTGCTCTTTCCCACGCATTGGGCGCACCCTCGCGCGCCTCTTTAGTTAGGTGTGTCTCCGGGAAGGAGCGACTGCTCTGTACGGTATCCAGAGGCGCCCAGGTACTGTACCCAGGGCAGGTGCTGGCCCCACCTGCACCTGCCCTTGGGCTAGGTAATGTCCAGGCCGTTGGTCTCTGGCAAACGGCCCTTTGCTTCTAGATTGAGATTGAGTCTGCGCCGCTGGGCCTATCGAGCATGGCCTGTCGCCGGCTCCGACGCGCCATCCCACAGTCCTGACTCTCACGTCAATCAATTCCGCACTTATTTTGCTGTATGTCGTCCAGCTGGCTTCTTCCATGTCTCGTGACGCCAGGCGAGGCCGACTAAAGTGCAGCATCAGCACAGCGACGCACTCGCGCTCCGCCGCTGCCATCCATTTTTCATCCATCTCCTCTCCCACCGGCATCTCCAGCGCCCCCGACCCCGGTCAATTGCTGATTTGCGCATGCTCATGCTCCTCACTCCGGGCTCCTTGTTGTATGACGCCCCTCATCCATCCGTCGCACGCTCACTGGAATTTCACGCGGCTTCCTAACTCGTCTTGGCCGTGCCCTTTTGAGACTCCTTGCCAACCGGCGGCTCTTGTGTGCCGATCGTATAACACCAGCCAAACACGACGCCCTACACAAGGCACGCAAGCACACCTGCTCATACCCTTTCTGCACGGCAGCTCCTGTGGCCTATGCGCTGCTTTTTTCCTCTGTCCACACCCACCTCGTCCTGCACTTTTCACCTCTCTCCACCCGTCCCCATTATTAGCTGCCATAACGTCTTGACAAACGGTCCCTGCTCCCAGAGCGACTGAAACATTACTGTCCATACACTCCCCCATACACCCCCCCGCCACTGCACCTCGCCTCGGATCTCATCGGGACTGCCCACATTACAGCGAAGCAACCACCCCATCGTGCGCCTGTAGTGGCCTTAAGGCACTTTGCGCCCACTGCCGGGGCCCTTCCCCATCCCATCCATCAGATTGATCTTTAAACCTGGGCCTTCCTCTCCCGACTCCAGAATCCCATCCTCCACCTCTCGTTTTCCCCTTTCGCCCTGGAACGATGCCGTTGAGCCAGTCGCTATGAGTAGCACCTTCAGCCTGACTCCAACGGCGGAGACTAAAGTGTGCGAGGCTTCGTCGCGTATCGTGTGTCAATGCTAACACCATCATTCCTCGCCTCCGCGACCTGGACGTCCTCTTCTACCGCCGCGCCCATACCTTTCTCCTTGTTAGATCATCTGCCACCTTCTGGACGCCTCAAACTTAACTTGCATATACCGGTTAACCCGGAGGCCAAGAGCTGCCCACCACCATCCTCATTTCATCTGTCTGGACGTTTGCATGAGTAGGAGAGCATATCAAATAGGGTCTCCCTCATGGACCCTCGCGCCGATCGGGACGTCCTTCCTCATGGACCACCAACGCTTCCCAGATCGCCCCCGGCGACTCTTCGCCGTCGCTTGTCTATCGATGAGGACTACTTCTACCAGCGTATTATGACAACGGACCCCACACGGCCTTCACGACCACCGCCTTATGAAGCGTCAACGTCAGCCCAAGCAGCACCGCTTGCAACTGTTGACCCAAGCAATGACGTCGGAGGGTCTCGCCGGGGTAGTCCTGCCGGGATTAGCGATGATGGGCATGGGGAAGAGAGACTGCCGAGCTATTCAAGCTCCATCGAGCTTGAAGGAATTTTTATGAAGAAGCATGAAATCGAAGGCACCAACAAGAGGGCCGAAGACCGTCGCTGGCATACGTCTTATGTTACTCTTACTGGAACAGCCCTCAACATTTACAAAGCCAAGAAATCTCGAACCTGGGGAAAGACTCGAGACGGGCCTCAAATCAGCCCCGACAACCCCCCCTGGATGACAAAATCAAAACTTGAAAAGACCTATAGTTTGCTATACGCCGACGCCGGTATTGCTGCAGACTACAAGAAGTGAGTCGACTCTGAATCCTCGACAGGGAGTTCATATCAATGCGGATGGCGTTTTGCCGGGAAACATGTACTAACCGGAATGTTCACTACAGACGAAGATATGTGATTCGTATTCGAGCAGAGACTGACCAGTTCTTACTCTCATGCATCGAACTGAGCACATTTAATAGGTGGATGGAGGGCTTGTTCGCCGCCATTGACGTTGCTCTTCCAATCGATGATCGAGATTTCCCTCGGGACATGTCGGTTCCCAGAATTCAACGAGTCCGCTGGTTTCGTGGTGAATCGCCTGATGGCCCTGGGATTGCAATTCAGGATGCACCTCATGATCCAGAGCAAAACTCGGGTGAGGTGTCGGCTCCTAGTGTTCGGAGGAGCTCCTCGACCCCAGATTTAGCTGTGAACCTCCATCAAATGGACGCCCAAGCCCAGTCAGCAAGCAGGCCTACCGAGGAAGAGGAAGAGGAGGAGAACGAAGAGCTTTCGAGATCGATACCCGTATTTGATGATTCCAGCGATAGTGAAGACGGAGAGGGAGGCCCATGTCACCCACCACGATTAGATCCTACTCACCGGTTGAGTACAACGTCATATGATAACGCTGGTATTGACCCTCACTCCGGCAAGTGGGTACCAGATCATCAGTGGACAAGCGCGCATGATATGCTCTACGCCAAACTCTGTTACAGCAATCTCCTTTTTAGAAGCCCTCGAAAGTCCAATTACATCATCCACAAAGGAAAGAAATGGTTCGTCGACTGGTCGACTGGTCGGATGGTGCGGGTTCTGCCACCGGCATACGGAGAGGTGGATTACTTCGGCCCTTGGCAAGTCATTCATACGGAAAATATTCGCATCTGATACCGTTGTTCTGGTTGTGGGGAGTCGGTCGATCACTCGGTCTTGGCTCTCGTCACTTTCAGGGGATGGAACCTTGGCTACGGAGAAATCATTGCCTGCCAGTACGCAAGTCTGGCTACGACGGAAGGAACACTACGTTCAACTGTACCATCTACTAGAGATAACCCACATATTCGAGTTTCTCAACTCAACATCCTAGTTTGAGCCCACATCAGGGTTCTGGAGGGGTAAAGTCATGGCCTAGACGGCCACGCAAGGTCTTTCGGCATTTACGGCGCATGTTTTGGGTAAGGGGATTCAGCATAAACTGGGGGGCGGCTTTGGAGTAGCCTATCATTTGTCATTGGGCGGAGTTTCATGGTTTTTACACACGCATATACATCTCGCCTACCGATATCATCGCAGGTTGGGGAGATCCTGCAATGGGCATTTGGGAAATGTTCATTCAGGTTTACGAATATAGCACCCTTAGAGGGAATGAGTTTAGGATACTGGGCCTCAAGCAATGAAATAAGCAAAAAGAACAAACATCAGTAAACTTGGTTTTTTTTTACGGCCCCAAATTTCATGTAAAGAATTAAGAAAACAAGATGGTATCAATATATTTAGCAACTCCAGACACCCCTAAACCTGACCCAAGCCTCGCACATGTGTAATTCCTTAATCATGACATAAAGCGCACTAATTGGGTCTCGAAGTCCTGTTCCCATGCCAGTGGGGCCTTCTTCAACGCCAGTACAGCTAAGAATATGTCGTCCCTCTCTTGGCCAGTGCAAGCCCCATGCATGCAAACAATCCCGACAGGCCGCAAGAATGGATTTCACTCGTCCGACGGAGGCTAAATCAGCTCTCAGCAGCAGCAGCAGCGTTCTTGGTCCCGGAGATGGCCGCCTCGGCCTCACGGGACTCGGCGGCGAGCAGGTCGGCCACCTCGGCGAGGGCGCCGTTGGCACCCTTGACGTCGGCGACGAGGGCGTCGAGCTGCGCCATGAGGTCCTCCACCTCGCCCTGCTGCCGGAGGATCTCCTCGTGCAGCAGGGCGTTCTGGGACTGGGTCGTCTGGAGGCGCGCGTTGAGCTGGGACTGGTGGGCGACGAGGGCGGGGGAGAGGTGCGCGGAGAGGATGCGGGAGGGTGGGAGGAGGTGTGGTCTGCAGGTCTGTCAGTTTACATCCAATAAAACCCCAGCAAGCGAAGGTAGGGCTCCAATTGGGAATCACGGACGGTGTGGGATCAGGAACGGAGTCGTCCGATTCGGCGCGCCGCTTCGAGGCGTCGGCGATGAGGGACTCGAGCTCGTTGAGCTTCGGGACGACTTGTCTGGATACTATGATGTTGTCGAACTCTTTCTATAGGCATACCATTGTCAGTTCCTCAGTTTCAAATCTCTAGCAAGGGTAGGTGGGACGACCAACCTGACACTTCTCCCCCAGCTTCCCGACCATCTGGCCCTGCACCTGGCGCAGCACCCCCTCGGACCGGCTCGAGATGGTCGGGTAGCAGGCGGCGAAGTTCTCCCACGCCAGCTTGCCGAGGGTGTGCTGCAGGGCCTGGCCGTAGAGGGCGCGGAGGCGCGTCGCGCGCGGGCCCGGGGTGACGTTCTCATTGACGTCTGCTGGCGCGGGCGTCGGCGTCGCCTCGTCGTCGCGATTGGGGTCCGTTTCCGGCGGGGGCGGAGGCGCCGGGGCCATTTCTGTGTCTGCTTGCTCGGCGCTCATGGCGGGAGCGGCGGCATCTGGTGTTGAGGAGGGGAGTTGCTCTGTTGAAGCCCGTGACGTTGGGAGAGAGACTGGTCGGAAGACGCGTGGTGGGGTTCCGCGGTTGCACGTGACGCGGGGTGCATCTTCATCTTCTGGAAGGGGGGAGTGAGGGGAGGGCGTGAATGGTTGGCCTTGGCCCGGCTTGGCTGATGGGTGTCCAAGGCTACCTAGATGGGGCAGAGAGAACGTGGCTTGCGGGATGTGGGTGGTGAGGCGACCGGAAGCACAGGATCTGGAGACGATTTTCTTTTTATTACTTATTACTTTTGCTCTTGCTTATTGTCACACCGGAGGCTTTGGTGTTTGGCATGCAATGTCAGTGTAGGGTAACAATGTGCCTTCCAACATCACCTGCAGTACTATCTACATGGGTCTTAATCGTCCCCGAATGAAGGGGAATGAGGAAAATTACTAGCCCAGTCTTTCAGTCATGGGAATTGAGTTAGTTGGATTTACCACTGAATATGATCGAAGACACGATCCCCGGAAAGAAAGGAAAGAGGTACATCGTGTATGATAAAACCGATTCAGTAGCCGTTTTCCTAAGTCGTCTATGAGAAAAATGAAATCTATAGTCCAAGTCTATGTATGCATTGTAACATATGAAAATTGTTTCGAGGGTATCAAATCCCATGTCGTGTCTTGGCATCCGCTTCTCGCATGTTTGCTTCCCGCCCTACTTGTCATCATCGCACCGTCCATCTCGCGGGACGGCTAGTTCGCAGATAGTATCGCAGCTGCATCTGCGGCCGGACTGCTGTCCGTCAGGCCGCGATCCCTGCGATCCCTTTCCTCCTTCTTGCGGCGCTGCTTCTCCTTCTGCGTCTCGCTGTGTAAATAGGTAGCGTAGCGGATCGAAAGCAGTGTCAGCATCGCCATGAAGAAGATTCCTGTTGCTGAACGGCGAATGAGGATCCACCGGACTCCCTCGATCTCCGACTTCATGTCACTGACCAGGCTTGTGCTGATCTTGTAGTTTATTTGTTGGATCTGATGTGTCTTGTTAGTAAACATGATCATTAGAGGTAGAGCATCAAGATAAAAAGCACGTACCGCGCCTTCTGCGGTCGTCTGTTCTGCCCGCACTGCCATCTTCCGGTCATTGAACATGCCGCGGATATTGTCATTGAGTGTCGACACCTCTTGGTTGAGCGACTGCTGCAGAATGTCTACTTCATGCTGGAGGTGCGTCCTCTGCTGCCGGACCTGTTCATCTTGCAGTCTCCGGTTATTCTTGATCTCCTGTCCCAGCTCAGAACATGCCGCGTTGAAGAGGTATGATTCCTACCACATGAAAAATCAATTAGTTATGTTCTCAACCGGGCTTCACGAGCTGCCACCCGCAAACGGAGGGATGATGCCCGAGGAAACATCGCCAGACTCACATTCTCAACATCACTCTTGCTCACAAGACTCTCCTGCGCCACGCTCAAGTTCTGCGCCAGCAACTTCCTGATCCCCTTCATGGACTCGATGGCCTGAGGCTGCGTGTACCCCCCTTCGTGGAGCCGCTTGACGAGCGAGAAGGTGTCGAAGTGGTGCACATACCGCGGCGGCGACATGGCCGGGGCTTGCTTCGCCGTCTTCTCCAGCTCCTCAAACTTCAGCACCGCCTCCAGCGGGCCCCTACTCATACTCTCACCCCCAGCGGCGGCGCTCGTCTGCTCGCCACCACCGCTCGATGTCTGCCCGTCCCCTGAATCACCCGCCGACGACGCGGCGTGTGCCTCCCCACTGGCCCCCTCCCCAATCTCAGCCTCAGCCTCGCCGGACGTGGCCCCTTGCTCCAGACCCTCCTCCATCTTCACTATGCTCTTGCTCTGCACCGCCTGCTGCTTCCCCGCCGTCATCGTCGTCGGGAGCAGCGCCTCCGCCGCCGTCTCACCCCCTACCTCCGGCTCAATCGCCTTGCCGTGCCGCGGCGCGAACGAGCTCTTCCACCGCAGTCCCTGGTCCCCCGAGTTGTAGACCGTCACGGCCGTCACCAGCCCCCGCCTCGAGCTCGAGCTCGCGGCGGCGGCGACGGCCCGTTGTCGCAGGAGCGAAGCACATTCGAATCGGGGTCGTCGCACGCAAGGGGAGGGGGAAGAAGGGACGCAGCCCAGGAGGGAGCTCGCCCTCCGACTTGCCAGCGCCATCGTCGTCGTCTGACTCTTGGTTCTCCCGTGTAGGTGGTATGGCTCGCCCCTGGGGGTGGCCGGGATTGGGTTTTCGGCCGGAGGGGAGGAAGTGTCAAGAGGGCTGGCAGCGCCGAACCTAGCAGAGGGACCCTGACATAGATGTAGCCGCTCTCCCTTCCCTTCCTTCTTTCGTTCGTTGCTGCAACAGATCAATAAGTTCGAGGGAGAACACCGTGCCGTGTATGTGAATGCTGGAATGCGTAGTTGTAGGCGTAGGTGTGTGCGAGGTTAGACGTCTAGATTCATTTTAGCTGTGGCTTCAGCCTTTCGGTTGGTCCGTTCCCCACCACGTGGCGTCATATCGATCGCCGGGAGTTGCGATAAGATTCGCACCAGGAACAGGCAGTCGGCAAGCACATCTCTGTCGCCCAAGTAACCGTTTCACCATACCTCAAAACTACCCTGAAGTTGCATAGAGGCAGAAACGTTACGCTGGATAACATGTCACACCCGCTGTGTTTACGATTGGCCCCAAGCTGGGTCATTGAGTCCAAGTCACAAATCGGTGAGCTCGTATTCCGAAGCAGTGCCTCATTATCGCTTTTAAAATAATAATACTCTATGGACGATTCCGACCCCTAGCCGTTCCATACCGGTATACCTTGCATGTCCTATGGCCAGATGCCCATCATCCATTCGTTGTAGTACTGTGTTTTCCGATCCGTTCCCTGTAACCAGCCAGCCAGCCAGGATCCATTGCCCTGTTTGAAAGTGTGAAATAAAATAAGCTCATCATGCCAAAAAAAATCAAAACCGTAAACTCGCCAGGTGCCACTGTATAAATTATATTAGCCACAGCTACTGCAATACTGTGCAATAAATGGGCAAGCTGGTCGGGTGCGGCTCGCTGCTGTAGAAGCTTGAGCACCCCCGACCTGCTTTCTTGTGTTTATGTCGTGGTAGAATAGTTCAACCCTGCACGTGGCAGGGGGAGAAAGAGTTTGCGACCTCACGTTTACCGCCATGTCGCCCTTGTTTGATAACCTATGTCCGTATCTGGAATGTAATCCATGTCGAGAAAAAGTAAGATGATAACAGAAGAAATAGAGTTCATTTATCCATGGTGAGGAAGTGGTAAGACTGCCTGTCCTTGGTTGTTCACTGAGTCGAGTATATTATGAGAGTGTGTGCAATAAAGTACCAAAAAATAGCCAGGTGAAGTCTGCCGATTGGTGGTCGGCAAGGTGTTCTCGAGTGTCGTTCGATAAGTCATGCGTGCGGTCAAAACCGCCGTCGATTCGTATAGAAATAGCAAGGATTGTCCATTTTAGGACTCGTTCTTTGTGTCTTGCGCGGCCGACGACGCGTTAACGTTGTCGTCCTGCTTTTGGTCCACTGTAACCGGGGCCGAAGCATCGGCCGTGCTAACACTGGTGAGGGGGCTGTCGCTGTTGACACTGTTGGCCTCGTTGGTCGATGCAGGGGTTGGCACGGCAGATGATGCATCGTCGGATTGGGCTGGTCGGTCGCCCTTGACCGCGTTCAAAGCATACTCGTCAAGTAGCTTTTCTAGAGCTGTTAGCTGGCGGGAATTGCCGTTCTTCTTCTGGAGATAGAACAGGGGCTTGATCTCGTCTGCAAATGAATCCAGCTCGGGGCCCTTCAATGTCGCAAACAGCTTTTCTGCACACATTAGTTAGCATTGAGAACGAATCGAGGTGGACAGGGAACCCTAGGCAACTTACGAATCACATAATTCCCGTAGTTGTCTCGCATCAATTGCGGGAGCGGGCTGGTGCCGTCCTCGCCTGGTGTGACAAATCTCTCTCGGATTTCGGTGACTAGAGCAGGGGAGCCTGCCTCAATGCAGGTCTCGACAACGTTGGAAGCAAACTTGTGCTTGCATAGCTCGATGAGTTGACCCATGACAAGTCGGATCATCTTTTCACGATCCTCTGGTTTCCCCTTGCGAATAACATGCTGCGCCACATAGTTTCCGAACTGGTCTGTGAGAAGGATGTGGGCCGAGGGGTGCAGTTCTCTCACGATGGCGGCCTTGTCGGCCTCAGTGCCGTATTCCATCATCCTCTGAACAACGCGGCAGCCATATTGATGCGTAGACAGGGTTGTAACTTGGCCACGGAGAGCGTTCATGATGAAATCCAGGTATTGTCGTGGGACTAGTTCAATGACCTTCTGGATGACGTGGTTTCCATTCTGGTCAGTAATGACCTTGTAGACATCAGCCGCAAGTTCCTTAGTCAACTCGGCTTGCTGCTCCACCAGGACATGTTCCAGTGCCTAGAAATGAGTAGTAGATTAGTATCCGAACAAAGACTTGTCTATCGTGAGTGGCAGGGCTGCGAATAGACTTACCTTCTGAACAACGCGGCATGCGTAGACCTGGACCGAGAGATCGACCATCTTACCCCTCATCTTCTCGGCAAGAATCCTCTTCTGCACTTGATTGCCGTGTTCGAAGAACTTTTGAACAACATAGTTCCCAAAGACATCTTTCATGAGCTGGATAGCGTTGGGCTCAATCTCCCGGAAGACCTGGTCCTTCTCGTCACTGTTGGCCGTCTCCAACTTCTGCTGAATGAACCGCGAGCCGTGCTGGTCGCCGCTGAACTCGACTACGTAGTTGTAGAGATCCTTGAGCTCGTACTTCTTGCTAGTCTTGCTGTTTGAGCGAAACTCTTCGAGAACTGCGCTTCGCATTCCTCTGACGGGGTCGTGGTTCACAACAGGTCGAATGTTGGGCAGAGTGCCACTGATTGGGTAGCCTGGAGACAGAGGGGGGACGGCGTAACCTGAAACCATGGGGTGGCGCAGGTTATGGCCGTACGGGTCGAGGTAGCTTGGAGGGAACTGTGGGTAGGCGAACTGTCCTGGAAAGAATGGGCCAGCGAAGGCTTGGGGCACCTGTTGAGAAGGCGTGCGGCGATCCGCATCGGTGGTTCTTGGGTCTCGAGAGGATGGTCGCGTGTTCCAGAGATCCGGCGACTGCGCATAGCCTCGGGGGCTGTTGCTCACTTCGAGTCGATAGGAGGGTGCGGGGGAGACCCTTCCTACAGAGGGGCGCTTCAGGGCCGCGAACTGATTGATCATAGGGTCCAGCTGGGGATCTGAGCCGGTACTGAACCTTGCCGCATTGGCATCACCAAAGGCTTGCGAACCATGGTTGGACTGGAAAGGCTGCGAAGAAGGGTCGAATGTCGGCGTGCCGGAAGCCGAGTGGTCTCCAGGCACACGACGATTGTATCCGATCGACATGTCCTCCTCGACCTGCTTGTTCATGTTATAGGCTCGGTTATTGACCGTCTGATGAGGCAGCGAGATGCTACCGCCAGGTCCTTGACGTTGGGACGGGATGGAGTTGCTGTGCGCATGACCGTGGGCACCACTAAGACGCCCGCCATTAAGGAACTCTTGGATTTGGGGAGAGCCCTGCTCCGGGCGGTTGGGAGGTGCACTGCTATCTCTGGACGGCGGGAAGGCGCCCACGGAGTCGAAAAACGACGGTTCGTGGGGAGAGCGCTTCTGCATACTGAAGGAAGGACCGCCGTATAGACCGCCCCCGTTCACACCGTTGAAGCCATTGATTAAGTTGACTGGGGCATGCGCATCGGTGCCGGCACCAAAGCCCGCAGTCTTGGGGATTCCATTGTCTCGTGTTCGGTTGGGCGAGGTACTGCTCGGTCGTGATGGGACTTCGTTGTTCCAAGGACTCGTGCCCCAGACGTTCTGGGATTCAGAATTTGCATGGAAGGCGTTGGCGCCGGAAGCGTTGTCGGCAGGGTCTGGAAAGTTTGGGAGGCGTCAGCACTGCGCACCTAAAAGAGGCGACGTATCGCAAGAATAGTCAACGTACCTTTTGAGCCCAGAGAAGGCCCACGAGCGTGGGTGTTGGGAAAAGATGTCGTGGTATTCCAGATACTCTTAGTTGGGTAGAGATTGTTGGAGCTAGCGAAGCCAGAGCTCTTTGGCTGCGGCTTGTCGTTGGAAGAGCCGGGCGGCATTGTGTAGGACCAATGCGGCGCCTGAGGCAAAGGAAGAAAACAGAAATCGTTAGTGACAGTCAATATGCAAGGAAGAAATCATGCAAAAGGAAAGGAAAATTATCATGTGAAGGAAATAAGGATGGGAAGAATGTTGATGATGACGAGGATGATCCCGACGCTGGTTGGTGATGGTGAACTAAGAAGGAATGCGATCCAGGGAGCCAGCCAGGGCAATCTAGTGGCTAGGCAAAGTTGGGTAGGCCGGGCCACAGTTGAAAAAAGAAGCAAGGCAAGGATTCGACATGGGATCTTCTGGAGACGGGAGAGACACTTGGCCCTGGGTCTCGGCCTGTGGCAGACCTAAACGAGGCGGGCCCAATCAAGGATGCCAGAAGCAGGCGGGCAAAACTGTTGGGTAGGGAAGGTGTCAAGTGCAACGGGCGCGCTGTACCGGCGCTGTGCCGGCGCTGGGCCAGGCCTGGAGCAGCAGAGTTGCAGCGAAGGAGGTGAGGAGCAGGACCCCGCCCCCAGGCGAATCAGCACCTACAGCCGGTCTCCGCGCGTTACACTAGTTAGGGCTGGTAGACTGGCCGACTGTCCCCTTGTTGGGTACCAGTCTGGCGACACCCTAAAAAAAAAGTCCGAGTGAGGGCGACGAAAGGGAGGGGGCAGGGCGTAGCGATGATTCACTGAACCACCACCGACTGCCTTTGTGTGTTCGGGTAC